TGTTGTTTCTCTGTTTTACAAATGAACAACATTGTAAATTTATGTTTTCTTTAATATTAGATCAAATTTACTTCTTATCAAACATAAAGAGAAGAAAATCATTTGGTTTTTAATATTATTTTAAAATTTTTAAATTAGTAATGAGTTTTTTGTATTTTAATTTTAATATTTCTCACACTCATAACCAGGGCTCGAAAGTTTTAGTAAATGAATATATTTTTTAAAAGTTTTAGAACATACAAAGATACAAATTTGTTTCACAATTCCTCGATAATAAATATGTATGAAATTTAATTTTGCTAATTTAGAGTTTTAAGTTATTTTTAAAGACATATTCTTAAATATAAAAATTTCTGAAATTAAAACTTTGACAAAAAGTTCAACGTATCACAACATGTAAAAATTAACAATCGTATTAAAGACCTCGCCCAATATGAATACCACATGAATCGGAAACAATAGTTATTGAAAACAGTTATTTAAAATTATTTATATAAAATGTGTTGTACATAGACTGCATAAGGTTGCAAATATAATTATAAGTCTATTTTACACTGTAGAAAAACTTATTTCGAATGTAAAAAATCTTAAGAAAAGCCCCAAGTTTTAACTTATATTTAAAACGGAAGGGCCAAACCAAACCTTACTTTTGTAGTCAATTTTCATTATTTGGGGAAGTTGGATTAATGTGGCGGTTTATTATTGCGAGAATTTTGGAAAAATTTGTATAGTTTTCATGTTGGGTAGAAACGATGCGGTTTATATTAAAAATGATTAAGATTAATGTATATTATGTCAAACTTTGAAAAATTAACTTCGGCTATTGAAAAATTACAACAGCTACATGTACCATTATTTAATTAATTCTTTATTTGTTAACATTATTCATGATTCAATTAAAATAGGTTAAAACCTTGAAAATGTGCTTTATTAGTGCAATAACTTTACAAGCCCTGGTTATAACTAATTAAACCAGTGATTCTCATCCTTCTTTCGTTCATGTCACCTTTAGCCACTAGAATATAACACAGTGTCACCCAAACATCAAAATAAAAAATATTCTTAACTGTGTATGAAAACTGATGAGAAATTGGGTCCTGGTCGTTTTTACAAAGTTGAGGAAGTCGAGGACTGATGATAGAAAGACAGAGTCTCATATTTTCTTTTAGAATTGTAGAGCTATAACAATACATATCTAGCGACTAAAAAATAACTGACTAACGACACCGGTTAAATCAATAAAATAATCGATAATGCAGCGATTTCGCAAATCAAAATACTGCGTATTTATCCATCTAAATAATATAAAGGCACAAACTTAAAGATAAACTATTTACATGACAGTTGTGACAATAATATGATTTTATTAAAATTAATTTTTTTTCCTTTTCCTTTGGAGATTTTGTGTCACCCCTATATTGCGTCTATGTCACCCCGGTTGAGAACCACTGAATTAAACTATAGTAAAACATCGTAAAAATTGACCAACATAGATAATGTTTCACCTTTTATAATAGATTGATAATATACGAGCTTCTCTTATAATAAAGCGAATTTTAAAATTACTGAATTAAAGTTTGCTGTTGTATGTTTGTGAGACGGAGACCAAATATGCAAGTGTGCATCTTCTTAGGGGTAACTAATATATTAAATTAACACATTTATCATATACATATGTATTTAGATTTTTTTTATCAATAAAATTAGAAATATAGTCAATTTCTTACTTATAGATTATAAATTGGCCATGATTTTCCAAATAATAAGTAGGCAATTTTATAGTTAAAAAAAAAACACTAAAATGGTAGTTTTAAATAAATTTAAATACTTTAAGTATAGAACTTTGTTTGAATTTTGCCAAAATTAAGGTTTCCATAAATAAACATTAATTGTATTATTAATTTATCAGGTAGGATTAGCCAAGTATAATTTAAGGGTCAACAATTTGACACGCATTATAGTTACTTATAATAAATATTAAGTCTTAACAACATAGAAAATAACTACTATTTGTAACATTCAGTAATTTTTATTTTTTTGTTAATATTGAAAATTTGAGAAAAACATTATTGTTTTATTAGTATATTAGTAGTATTTTTAAAAGTTACAAAGAAATAAAACTAGAATCTTTCGTATTGATCTGGTAATGTGAATTTATGTCCCAAATGTAACTTGTAACTTTGTTTAATACAACAAATATGATAAAAAATTACTAACATACCTATTGTTGTTTAATTAAAAAATCTGTTATAAAATTAATTGAAGGGGAGTAGAAATATACAGATCGCTAATAAGTCTTTTCACAGCAATTAAAAACAAAGTAATTACTTTATTCCATTTAATGATAAAATACTTTCAGTTACATATACCAGTCACCAAGAATTTATAAGTATATATGTACATATAAATTCTTGGTGACTGGTATATGTAACTGAAAGTATTTTATCATTAAATGGAATAAAGTATATATATATATAAAAAAAAAAGTATATATGTACATTGTACATGAATACAAATGCAATATTCAAAGTGAAGATATGTAATAATTACATAATTTAATAGGTATACATTAAATATTATAATTGATTTGGGCCATTAAGGTTCACATAATATCCTGTTTTTTAATCATTAAAAGCTGGCAATTAAAGATGCTAAGTAATATAACTTTTTATAGTTCAATTAAAGTATTTTATATTAAGAATACCAATAGATTATTTATTCCACACCAGTTTTAAATTGTTTCAACCACTATAATGTATGTTAAGTCAAAAAATTTCAAATGTTATTTTTGAATAAGATATGATCTATCTTACGCACCTGCTTTCAATTGTTGACAAATATTTGATCCAATGTAAATCTTCCACAAATGATGATTGCTTGTTTCAAAAGTAAACAATTTGAGTATTATTTTTTTAATCTGTTCATGTATTGTTATGTTATGATTTAATAAAATTTAGAAACAGTAATGGATATTTAATTAACTATATTTACACCACCTCCTTATTTTATAATATATTATTATGAGCCTTTAGCAAAAAATAACTATTTTTGTTAATTATGAATATTTTTAAATAGATAACACTATTGTACTCATTTGGTTTAAAACAATACAAGTTTATAATGTTAAATATAAGAAATATGCAAAATATGTAAAACACATCACCCAAATAAAGCACTTGTAAAAAATGATGATTAATTTTTTTCTACAAACATCTTTGGGATATCACAAAATTAATACTTATTTTTCTGAAACACGAGCCAAATGAGTTATTCATGTTTCAAGAAAAATATCACAAAATATGATTAATTATTAAAAATTTTAAAACTTAATATTTTTCATGATTAATGTATGATTTATTTACTTACTTTAATATAATAATATTCTTTATAATATATCTGTGCCAATCTTGAATACTTTTGTAAAAATATAAGCTGTGTATATCCATTTGCCAATTATTTCTTTAAAATTACTTTTTTTATCCATATATATATGGATTAATGTTGATTTTTAAGTGGTAACCGTTATTATTTTAGTCAACATTCAAACAACAAATAATTTTTTAATAATGATTTAATTTTTAAGGATAAAAATAAAATTTGTAGTCTTGTTATATAATTTTAATATCAATAAAAGTAGAAAGAAACATTAATCATTCTTGTTTTAATGTTAAGATAGCAACTATATAAAGAATCAAATTTTTGTTTACAATTTTAATAAAATTATTTACTATTATAATATTAACTAATAGTTACCATTCAAAAATCAGAAGTTTATGAAATTGTAACCTACATAGAGGTTAGGAAAATTATTACAAAAATATGAATTAAAAATTAAATTCTGAGTTAATTTAATATTTATACTTTCATTACACATTTAAGTAAACAGCACGGTATAATTTTTAATAATAAGTGGATTGAACTTTTTTGCACATCTTTATAACATAATTATATAAGGGCTGTCATTTAGTAAAATAGCATTATATCTTCATTTTTCAATTAACACTGCTCGGTGTATACATTTTCTGATTTTGCTACTACAGCATTATAAACATAAATATAATATAAATTAAATAATTTTAAATAAACAATATTAAGTATTATACTAAATAATATAAACTCTGCACAAGAATAAAATTAATTACTTACACATATGAAAAATGTAAAAAAAAAATTGAAATCAAATCTGAAAAAGATTAATAAATAAAAGAAAATTGTTGAGCAAAATTAAAAATAGAACAAAAAATAAAATAATATGTTTGTTATATATAAAATGATAAATAATAAATAAGTTTAAAAAGATAAAATTATAAAAATCATAATAAATAATATCAAAAACAAAAATGTTAATTTATTTTTTTAAAGTTAATGATATTTTTGCAATAGCCATGTATTCTAGAACTGATATTTAATTGAAGTAATGGAACTTTAAAATTGAATTATTTTTAAATAAAATAATAATAGCATGTGTACGTATATTTATAAAATTACTACATTTGTACTATTGATAAATATAAAAATAAATAATGTAAAACTATAGTGTGTTAAAATAAAATGATATTTGTAATTATTTACAAATGTAGATATAAATGTATTACTAGTAATGTAGTTATAATATAAAAAATTAGTTTTTACGATAATAATTCATTTTGAATTGTTTTTAATAATTAAAATTTAGTTATAAACAGTTAAGTTATTTTAAAGTAATAATTTATGAAAAATATAATTAAGTTATTAAGTCCAAAGTTCTAGTTATAATTTAAATATTAAAAAATGCATAAGTTATCGTAACTGATTTAATATATTATTTATAACACTCATTGATATCAGATATCATCGTTAAAATGAATTATAAAATATTAAGTATTTAAGTTTTTGATGTTATATAACAAAACATCAATTTAACTCATATTTGTTATTTTTTATAATATAGAAATTAAACATTATTAAAACAAAACATAACAAAAATAATAATAAAACAGTAATTTTAATGACTTCAGAACTTTGGATATTAAAAAATAAAATAAAATAAAAATTAAGGTTTGCAAAAAAAAAAAAAATTAAATAAAAAAAATGTTAGCTATCATAAGTACCATTTATGCCTTTTTTTTATGGTACTATTGCTAACATCAATTTTGTAGAGTTCAATTGATAGTATATTGGAAAAACATATATGGTCACTTTCTATTGGTTCACCGCAACAATCACAACTCACTACCTATATAAATATTGATAATTAGTTTACACAATTTAAGAATATAATTGGTAACTACAGAATGCTGATAAACATTTGGTTAATAATAATATATATAAAATATTTTATTATTTTGTACATAGATTTTTATTTTTTATTTGAGACAATAGTAGTCTCTCGATGCTTCATTGCGAAGTGTATATATATTTATATATATATATATATATATATATATATATATATATATTTTAAAAAGATACTATCTTCTGATTTAAAAGAAGAAATGAGAAATTAGAGTTTTGGTAAAATGGTATTGTTAGATATCAGATTATACATTCAAAGAGCATATTAACAAAATGAAATATATTTTAAGAAATAAAGCCCGAATAATATTATTCACATTTTCTATTATGAGTGGAAATAATCATTCGACATTTTAATACCTAAGTTTTCTAATGAAAAGTTTGTATATAAATTCCGGTATTTATAGTATACTATTGTAGGAATAAGTAAGATTAATAATTACAAAACAAGTCATGATTAAAATTGAATGCTTTCAAATAATACTATGAGATTTTTTATTACCGATTTGCTATATTTGATATAGAATTTAATATTTGGTAATTTGATAAATCACAATAAATTCAGTAAGTCTGTAATAATTTATAGGGTAACTTACCAAAATTTTTTTAGAAAAGAGTAATTTTGGTTTTTACTGTAATTATTAAAACAATAACATCAATAACTTATACCAATCATTTAACGGATCATATTGAGTCTTGATAATATGGCCAATAAATTAGTAGTTAAATAAAAATAAATTATTAATAACTGAATAATTTTGGTACAAATTTAATAATTGATAAATATAATAATACTAGTATTTAAATTAACAATGGGATTAATATTGCTATTTTTTTTTAAAATACAAACAATGATTAACTTCTTTATATAAAACTATAATCGAGTAGTTTTAGAAATTCCTGCTAAAATTCATGGCGTATTTTTATTTGTAGGCTACATTCAGAATGTATTATTAGTGGTAATTAATTTTGGTTGAATTATTTATTTTTTTTATTTTTTAAGAGTGTTTAATATTAACAATTCAAGTTATTGTTTATACGAATACTAATTTAACTTTTTATATTAATATTGTGAATACTGAATTTTTATACCATAACTCGTACCTCTCCCACATAATAACGTTTTTGTCGAGCAATTATTTTCAATATTTTGTTTCGTGCATGTTCTCTAGTACGGAATTCAGGATTCATTCTTCTTTTATGTTGTTTTTCTTTTTCTCTTTCCTTTTTTAATTGATTATGTTTTTCTAAATCCACAAATTTTTTTTTGTGAAACCTAAGCATACATAAATAAAAGTTTCATTATTTCAATAATTTAAAAATCTATATAATTTGTCTTACAATGATAAATTATTACAGTTCATATTGGGAAGTGAAAACAGATTATTAATCTTATCTTCATAAAGACCTTTAGCTCTGGAGAGTCTTTTAGCAATAGTATTTTTTCCTCTTTCTATGGCTCTTGATTCTGGATCTAAACGTCTTCTTCGTTGTCGTTCACGATCACATTCTAAACGACGCTTTCTTGATTGCTCTCGTTGTTCGTCAGTTAATAGCTTTCTGGACATTTTTTGATACTATAAAAATATGTAATGGTTATATTATTATTTTATCTCTATAAAAATATTATATACTATTTAAATACTTACTATCACATAACAAGAAAAGACATTTTTGTAGTTTAAGGATTAAATTATTTATATAAACTTGTGGTTTTTTGACACTAAGTACAATACAAAGTTGTTTTTAGTTTTTGTGACTTTTCGATATATTAGTTTTAATGTTCAATAATATTTATTCAGTCTTGAAAATCTGAAAAAATATTTATAGAATATAATTTAAAAATAACACAAATTTGTATATTTGAATTTTATCATTATTTATTGTGATGGGAAGATATACTATTTATTTATTTTATTATTTTATCTCAATTATTTAATTATAACATTTATTACTCATACAATGAAAATGCTCTTCTCTTTCATCCTTTTACAAATTATTTGGGATTAGCAACCCTTGTCCTAAACCTCCATTTGTCTGGATTTTCTCTACCTCTTACGCACACACCTTTAGCCCTCATATCATTCTCAATTACATTCAAGCATCTATCTATATAACCATCATACATTAAAAAGTATGGTAAAAATGGTTTACCAAGGTAAAAAATGAAAAATGAAACAAAAAAATATTAACACAAACCTGGTGCCTGTGCATGGAGTCTGAAGCAATTTATGCTAGATTGTATAAAAACACATTTAATTACAAAGTCGATGCACAAAAGCTATATCGTTGATTATAAATACTAGTATTTATAATCAATGGCTATATCTATATTTTTTCGGTTCAAATGGTTAAATCGGTGTTTCCATGCCTTATGTGAAATAATTATGTATGGGCACAAAAACGTAACGAGTTATAGGAAATTGTGCGGTACACATAAATAATATATAGATAGTACGGAGTGTAAACAATTAAAAACGTAGTTGGGAAGAACATATTGGCGTGAAATTGACAACGGCATCGTCGGCGTAACCATGGAAACGCTGCATAACTAGTATGAATTATGCGTGTTCAGCAGAGGCGATACGCCATAGATGATATACAGTCCATCATCTCCCACATGGTGACCACATTTTGTGCGAGTAGTTGGTGTCAACGGACAAAAAGGGAGATTACTTCATGCACATGCGAAACATAAACAACAAAACAGATATTCTGTTCGGCAGACGCTGTAATAGGACAGGAGGGAAGGAAACGAACGGGCATGGCGGGGTACCGGGGAGAACGCGCGGTTCTTATAAACGATAATAGCCAATGAAAAAACCTGTTTTCGCTAGCTATATATAAACGCTCTATAAACGCCAAAAAACATAATAATAATAATAGTAGTAATAATAAAAAAAAAGAATAGTAATAAAGACGAACGGTATGTTTACCTGGTACCCGGCCAACAGTGGTGCTTCATGTTGTTAGACGTCGAACGGGACACGACGAATGAGTGAGTGAGAGGGAGCGAGAGAAAATTGAAAAAAAAAAGTAAAAACAAGACGACCTAGTGGCGGCTACGGGTTGATGTTGTTTACTGCGTTGCACGCGTTCGGATCGCAATGTGCACGGAATGTTCAATATCGTGCATGCACACACCACACCGCGACGGTGGAGAAAGATAACGTAATATTTATATTTTCATCGAGCACTCCGCATGCGTCGTCATAATGTCATAGATATCCATGGTACAAAACAGACGGGTAGTGTACGAGAAAATGGAAAAAAATAAAAACAAAAAATAAACGTTTTTCTAACTATTATTATTATCGAATCTCTTCCGCGACGCACACAACTGTCCGGCGAAATGTCAACATTGTCAACAACGGCGGCGGCGGCGACATCAACGGTGAGGACGAGGACGACGGCGACCACAACAACAAAAACAACAACAGCGAGGGGCCGCGGCTCTGGTATTTTGGTGAACCGCAGCTGTTGCTGCCACTATATAAAAAAAAATAATATATCCGGTACCGCAGTGGCGTCGAGACGCCGACGGTGGGAGATATATCGTGCCGGCCGGCGGGCCTCACTGTGCCACGTTGTAATCGGTGTTCGAGCGTTTCTTTTGACCTTCGCGTTGCCGGCATAGGTCGAATGAGCGTCACTTATCCCTGCCGGCCGCACGATCCACAGCTGCTTAAAACAGCTTCCTCCCTCCCCGCTGGCGTATTACCGGAGTAAATTTATCCCGGTGCTGCGCGTGCGTCCGTGTGTTTTGCTCGATCGATAACCGTGTCTGACGTCCGTATGGAATCGTTCATTTACGTCTGACGACCTCGCCTAGACACGTCAATCCTTTTATCGACCTCAGGTGTTGTCTACAACTCTCACCCTCGTACGTTGACAGTAAGTGCTATCGATGATTTTTATTATAATATATTTATACTATGAACGGTTTTGAAAAATCATGTTTTGTGAACTTATCGAATTCGAAACGCATTAAAAAAAATGTTTGTACCACACCCGGAGCGGGTTGGTGCACTTCTTAATCGGATCATTTCGCGAGAATACACTAGGGGTCTTACGAGTGCTGTTACTCTTGTGAACTGTACAGTTTTTTTTATACTCTTCCAGCTTGCACTACGTGAGCTATTCCAAATCGTGTATTGGTACTAGGGACGGTTAAAAAGTGACGGAAATTATAATAATATGCCCCCGCATTAATCGATTCCACGTCTAGTCTCGAGTCTTAGAATTGGTTTTGCTTTGAAGTATAACGAATATGCACGTTACTTGTATTTTATTAAACCTGTAATTTATGAGGGTGTTTTTTATCATTCAGTTTATATGAATCTGCTTCTATGTTAAAAGTGACCTACGTGGGTTAAAGATTTATAATTGTTTTCCAAATATCATTATGTTCAAGTGCTTGTAATTTGCCATTATGAATACTGATTTACATGCAAAATGTGATTTAATGATAATCTTGTAGATATGAAGTATTTTAGCCCCAAAGTATTTTATAAATTATCAATGCTATGTTGCTTAATGTCTTATTTTTTTGGGATTTAATTGTCTTGTTTGGTAAATTGTATAAATAAAATGCAGGAAGGTGAAACAAGGTTAGTTTGACCTTGAATTATAGCTTGGCATACATTTATTGAACTTCATGTTCAACTACTTATTAATTATTATTAATCTTATGCATTTTAGTTTTAAAACAAAATTCTATTTTATTTTTATCATTGTTTGTAGTTAATAAGTTAGCCAAATAGACTGAAATTTTAGAAATTGGTTGAGTCAATTTGCAAGATAGGACATGGTTAAAGTATTCAAATTACTTGATTTATATGTAATTATTTCATGATTTTTTTTTAGATACTGGGTAAATCTGAGAATATTGGTTTTATTTAATGTTGTTTTTTTGTATATTTTTTGTATATGTATACACAATTTTGATCAAAAAAATTTTTTGGGTCATTACTGTCATAAGATATTTTTGATAAAAAATGTTGTTTAGTTAGTATTTTTTGAGGTTTATTTAACAAATTTCCCAACAATTGTCAAATAAAAAATGTTAATCAAATAATAATACTGGTAAAGATAGTAAATCTCTATTGGATGCTTATATTACCATGTTCGTTACAGATGGTATTGTATTTAAAAGATTTTGATATTATTGACGTATTTATAGGTATTTGAAAATTTTATATTTGTATTTTTGTAATATATTCACAAAATAATTTTAATTTGACAACAAGTCTAGGAAATATAATATAAAGTTCCTCATACATATATCTATTATGGCTAAAAAAAAAAAGATTATGAGCTTTTCGATATTATTAAATTTAGACAAAACAATAAAAATGACTATATTTTAGTTATAAAAAAACGCATTTATATTTTATGCATTTATATTTATACACGAGGATTAAAAATGAATCATTAGTCTTATCATTTTTAATGAATTGTAGGTAATGATAATTTACATATCATTAATTTTAAAAATCAAATAACTTTATATTTTGGATTTTCCTCATAATATTTAATATTATATTATGGTTATCTTACTAAATTACCTATTATTAGCTTATTATAATTTGAGAAATTTTCAGTTTAATGTCACCTTTAATATATTAGCCTTCGTATCCATAATTATAATCATAACTTGTGACCTTTGCTTATTAAGAGATAAACTTAATAAAATATTAGTTTATATATATTTACTAAAATATTATGATCAAACTGTTTTTGAATATATTAAAATATAATATATTAACTTATACTAATTGCTTAATAATAATATATGTGGTGTATTCGTTTATAAATAATTTTCTATGTCTTTATAATGTTAAATTTAATACTGTTTTGATATTCATACTCTTTTATTGTATATTATAATGACTACAATATTTTGTCCTCAGAATTCAAAGTTTATTTGTGATGGTATCTTTTTATAAATATCTATTGAACTTCAAACTGTATCCTGGTATTACATTAATATTTTCTAGGTTTGTATTATTTTCCTTCCTAATTAATAATCCTTTATTATTTTTGATTTTCACTTTTATTTATCATATTTTATCTGCATAACAAAACTATGAACTTAATTTTCTTAATTTATATTATCATCAATATAAATTCATAAGCATCTTTCTTAAATATTATAATTTGTTTTAAAATTGAGTAGTTGTAGGTTTATAAAATTTAACCTAAATAATTCAGGTTTATGATTTAGCATTTCAATGTTAGATTATGTTATATTTATATTAGTTGTGGGCCATTTGACCATAACCTCGTTCTGACATTGCCTTATAAATATCTAATTGATTATCAGCCAAAATAATCAATCATTGTATAGGTACCTATTTTATTAAATATTAATTTAGTTATTGTGTTTAGACATTTCCAGACTTCAAGTATCAACAAATTTTCTTGCATCAATAACATGCCTATTACAAAAATTGTAGCTCGTTCAATTTTCGACTCCAGGGGTAATCCTACTGTAGAAGTAAGTTCAATTTTATTTTAGTAATAAGATTTTATTAAAATCATTTTTAAATTATATGTATATTTTTTTGGAAATAGGTTGATTTAACCATTGATAATGGACCAGTATTCCGTGCAGCTGTTCCATCTGGTGCCAGTACTGGTATCTATGAAGCATTGGAACTTCGTGACAACGACAAGAGCAATTACCTAGGAAAAGGAGTGTCTACTGCTGTCAATAATATCAACAACATTATTGCTCCAGCTCTTATTAAATCGGTATTTTTTTTTATTTTTTTTTACTTATAATTAAACAAATGAAGTGATTCATACATTATCTTAAATTATAAAATAGAACCCTAGTTAATATATGATTATTACAAAAAGTATTTATTTATTTTTTAAATAATTTTTAATTTAATGTCAAATTATGAGTAAAATATTTTATACTAAAATTATATTACATTTTATTCTTAATATTTAACCTAAATCTTATGTAAAATAATTTTTCAAGAAATGAAAATTACATTTATGTGATCTTAAGATTTAAAATTTTACCAGTAAATGTATAATTATATCTTTTTAATTCAATTATAATGAAACTCAGAAGTATTGTATTTTTAAAATTGAATAATCATTTTTATTATAAATTTTTTTTATGCCTATAGGGAATCATAGTCACCGAACAAAAAGCTATTGATGATGCTATGTTACAATTAGATGGAACACCAAACAAATCTAAACTTGGTGCCAATGCTATTTTGGGTGTTTCATTAGCTGTAGCTAAAGCTGGTGCTTTTAAAAAAGGTGTTCCTCTTTACAAGTAATTATAAATTTTTATTAAAAATAATAAATCATTGATATTTGCAATTTCTGATAAAAATTTAACTATGGCAATTCTAGGCACATCGCTGACTTGGCTGGAAACAAAGAAATTATTTTGCCTGTTCCTGCTTTCAATGTTATCAATGGTGGTTCTCATGCTGGTAACAAGTTGGCCATGCAAGAGTTCATGATTTTGCCTACTGGTAATGATTGTTAAACTGAAAATGTGAGTTATCATTTAATCCATATTTGTAAATTTAGGTGCAAGTACTTTTACCGAGGCTATGAAAATTGGTGCTGAGGTATACCATAACCTTAAAAATGTCATTAAGGCCAAATTTGGTTTGGATGCTACAGCAGTTGGCGATGAAGGTGGTTTTGCTCCTAATATTCTTGAAAACAAAGAAGGTTTACGTTTAATTGAAACTGCTATTGAAAAGGCTGGATATAAAGGAAAAGTTCAAATTGGAATGGATGTTGCTGCTTCTGAATTTTATGTGTAAGGCACCTTATACATCGTATTATTTAAAAACATTAATTGTTACCATTTTTATGTTTAACAATCCATTCTAATATAGTTATGAGTAGGGCGCAGATTTAAATGCACTTAAAACTATACAAATATGGTCTAAAAAATAGCCAAAAATGTCCTTAAAAAAATGCATTTTACCTCATAAATGACCTTAAAAATAAATAAATTATATATATTTTTATTTTGGGCATTATTTAATATACTATATAATATATTATAATCACAATCGCATGTAATATATGAGTTAAATTAAGATAGGATCAAAAATGAATTGAAAAATAAAGGTTGACATTGTGTATGGGAAAACCTGATAAACTTATTTAAGTGTTAAGAAAATAATTTATCTTTTGATTTTATTTTGAATAGGCTAAATTTGTTTAGTATATTGAACAAATATGCATTAAAAACCAACAAAATGACCCAATAATACTAAAAATAAAAAAACGTCGAAATATGCAAAAAAAAAAAATGCAAAATACAATTTATAGCCTTGAAATCCTCATTACATGATGAAACAAATTATGTTCTTGAAAGCACTTTGTATGATCAACCAAAAAAATATGCACTTTGCATTTAAATCCTGGCCCTAATTTTGTTATTTATTTATTTGATAATTTTTACTTAGTGATTATGTTATTTTCATTCTTAAGCTAATAAGTATCTGAATAATATATAAACTTAAAATTTAAAATATGTTAATTTTGTTCAATATGTAATGACTATAAATATTTTGTATCCATTAAAGCTATACTATGTTTCCCTAAGAAATTTACAATTATGAATTCAAAGATAGCATAATTTTTCACTTTCAGTACATAATTATATAACATTAATTTTATATTGATTTTAATTTAATGTCTGTTTTAGTGATGGAAAGTATGACTTGGATTTCAAAAATAAATCTGAAAGCAAAGATAAAAGTCAAATTATTTCAACTGAAGCATTGACAGATTTGTATAAAGAATTCATTAAAGAATACCCTATTGTTTCCATTGAGGATCCATTTGATCAAGATCATTGGGAAGCATGGTCTGCACTTACTGGCTCTACTGACATCCAGGTATAATTGACGTTAACATTCTCATTTTGATGTATGTCATCTCAGCATACCTATGCATATACCTGTATTGTATATAATTCATAGTTTATATTCATATAAGTTTCATACAAAATTTAAATCTTGTTGACTTAATTTATACAAATGTTTTCCAATTATTTTTTTAGTTACATTTACAAATAATTGTTGATATGAATGGTTTTAAGCCAAAGATTTAATTGTAGTCTCCATATTTAAATTGTACTATTTATTTTTTAATTATAATTGTATTCAAACCATTTTAAATATTGATATTTACATATTTTATATTAGATTGTTGGTGATGATTTAACTGTAACAAATCCAAAACGTATCGCTGAAGCAGTAGAGAAGAAAGCTTGTAACTGTTTGTTGCTTAAAGTCAACCAAATCGGTACAGTAACCGAATCCATTGAAGCACATTTGTTGGCCAAAAAGAATGGATGGGGTACAATGGTATCTCATCGTTCAGGAGAAACTGAAGATACATTCATTGCTGATTTAGTTGTTGGGTTGAGTACAGGACAAGTAAGTTTTAAATTAACATTTAACATTTACTTAATTTATTAAGATGTTAAATATATATATGCATTGAAGATTTAATAAAATTCTTAAATATTTGTAATTACAAAACTGATCTCCAATTATAAAAATTAACATTCATTTATATAAATAAATTGAAGTTTTTTAATTTTGTACACACATAAATAAAAGGCCCCTATATAAAAATATATACGTGTATAATGAGTGAAGTTTTAATCTTAAAAATTATTTGATATATTTGTTTTATACATATTTTAATATCTCATTTACTAGTTTCAAACATGATAATGGAGCCATAATCTTAATGTTTCATAATTATTCAAATTATTACATCTATTATATGCAAAATTTAATACAATTTACACTTCATAATTTTCTAAATACAATTTTTTTAGGACACTCATATAAAGTGTTTATAAAATTTAACTTTTTCTAATTTTGCTAAAAATATATCTAAATTTTCTATAAATTATAGTTAAAAGATAGAGATATTTAGATACTTTATTATACAGTATTTTTTTCTGACAATATTGAATCTCATTTTTGATTTTTTTTGGACTTAAAAAGTAAGGTTTCCAAGCTGCAACTAACCACAATGGAATTAACAGCTCACTGTCAGTTGTCAGTGAATAGAGTTTTTGACATATTTCTATCGAAATAATTTGTTTATAAAAATATTTAATGAAATCGTTCAGAATAAAATTGCCATGTCTATTGGACATTAGAAACCACATTAAGATATTTACTTAAAGAGTAGCCAATTATGCGATCATTGCGGCTAGTCACAGATTGGAAACCATACCTTTATGATGTATTGCGGTGATAAATATATTCTATACATTCTAGTAGTATTAGCATTGATATTTAAATTTATACTTTACGTATATAAATTTAAAAAAAAAATTGGCTGTGCATATATATGACATTAGTTAAATTTTTCTATATTATTATAATTCCTTATACTTATTCAAGTTATTTATAATTTTAGATCAAGACTGGAGCTCCTTGTCGTTCTGAACGTCTTGCTAAGTATAATCAAATACTTCGCATTGAAGAAGAATTAGGCAGCAGTGCTAAGTATGCAGGCAAAAACTTCCGCAACCCCCAAGGATGTTAATTGCATATTATTTTTGCTAATATTCCTATGATGAATAAATTAAGAATTTCTAAGAAATGCTGAACAAGAAGGAATACTATTATTATAAATATTTCAATATTTGTATTGGACGAAAACAATAATAGCAATTAAGTAATTAATTCAAAATCGGTATATACTTTTTTAGTAGAAATATACGTACAAAAGTAATTGTTATTTTATAGCATTACCTTAAATTATATAAATAAATTGTTTTATGTTTTTGTAGAATTTTTAGGATTTTGTTTTATATAAAATAATAGTCTTGTTAAAGCTTGTTTTGGCTACAAAATCCTTTTGTGAAAATACATTTTTTTTTTTTTTAATTTAAATATATTCTACTTGATCAGTAAATGAATACTTTTATGTTATAAATTTTCTTTTTTTGTATTTGCATTATTTTAATCGATGGTATGTAAACAATAATTATAATTATTATGAAATTATCAACAATTTAAATTATTCCAACCAATACATGTAATTAAAATTACAACGCATAAACAAATGCACGGTATTTACTTAATACTAAACTTTTAATTGAACTTAAATTGATTAAAATTTGTATTAAACTTATAATAATATATTGTTACTTGACATACAAAAATAATTAAAAACCTTAATTTCATAATTTTGAATGTCATTAAATAAAGTATAAAATAATTCAACTTCCTCTCTCCAAGCATTAATAGGATGTACCCAAAAAATACAATTTTTCTGCTGTTTTTTGTTGCAACAATTAAATAATCATAGTGCAATAATTTGTTTGTGGTTTATTATAATAATACAAGACTTGTGTTTTCTAAACATTATTAAACTTCAAGTTTGGGATTGACATAAATCTGGTTTTTTTTGTACGGCTTAAACCGTGTAGTGTGAAACGAGCCTTTTATTTCAGTATAAAATACGAGTAAGTGGTAGAATATATTTATATATCACTTACCTTGCGTTTGGTTTGGAATAACAAAAATAATGAAAAACAATTTTTACTTATTTGTGTTAAATAAGTGAATTATTGGTATACTACAAAGATATTGAGTATTCTCAAATTAAATGCATCTGTCTATCGCAATGGTCAGCGATATTTGACCGTGGCAGTATGGCGATAAATAGCCTAGCTAGTTTATGGGTTTAAGCGATATGAAAACCAACTACTTTGTTTAAAGCGTAGTTTACAATCAACTAATGATTTTTACTAGTCCATTATCTTACTAGCACATAATAAAATGGATATTTCATATACACGATACTATACATCTATTTTGCTAGTATATTGTACTACCGGGGAAATACAAGCTGCTGAATAAACAACTAGTAGTTCAGTTACATGCAGTGGAGTATTTAGGTATAGGTATGCAAACATTATAGGAACGTAGAGGCAAATTTAAAGGTTTAATTTAAAGTATTTTGGTTATTAGTTATTATTAAAAACTGTTTAAATCTTAAGAAAGAAAAAATGGGTAATCAGAAAGAACTTCTCACTACAATAAAAGCTCGTAAGCTTGAATACATTGGACACATAATGAGAAATAAACAGCGATACAATATACTTAAGCTTATATTACAAAGAAAGATAAAAAGAAAAGTAAATGTAGGAAGAAGAATGATATCTTGGATGAAGAATCTCCGTGATTGATAAAGTAAAACATCAGTTGGTTTATTTCGGACGTTACGTGACAGGGACATTGCCGATATGATTTCCAACATACGGAACGAATAGGAACTCGTTGAAGAAGAAATCTTAAGAAAATGTTTTTATATTTAAATAAAATTTGTTTTACGTACTTACCTAATTAATATCTATATTATAGTAGGTTATTAAATGATAATTCAATTAGTGCAGTATATTATTTTAGTTATTTAGAGCGGCAATTTTCCAAAAGCCTACACGTGGCAAACATATAATTACGCCTCTGGTTATATAATACTATTATAACTCGCTAATGATAAAATAGCACGTTAGTTTGTCAAAAAGTCGAAATGTTTCTACTATAATCGCGAACTAGTTTGTTATCAAAATAGTTTACTAGCATACTCAACTAGGCCATGCTTTTATACTAGCAAATGGTTAACTAGCTTATTGGTAGCTAGTAAACTAGCATCGTGTAAACCACGTTTAACGATTAGTCTCAAGAGTATAGGTCAATATTTAAAAAAAATATTTATTATAAAATTAGCTTTTATTTTGACCACAATTATAGTGTGTACTATTTATAATCGTAGTGACATTTAAGATTTTTTTGATAACTTTTATCGGTGATTCCAATGCATTCGGACCCATTCGCGTTATTAGTGTTTATAACTCGATTATTGAATTACGATATTTTTTCATTATTTTATATTCATATATATATATACAGTGTGATCACGGTTTAAGGTAACAATAAATATCTCAGGTGGATGACCTTGTATTGTTGTATTGAAGCGAATATTTTAGAGTGCTTAGGGGGTACTTAAATACACATTTATTTATGATTTTCAAATTTTCAACACTTTTGGTGTGTGCATGCGCAACACAACTTAAATTTTTTTAATGGAAATACTACTTTTTTTTATATATTCGGATAGATTATTTTTTTTAAACGTTTTTTGTATAAAAAGTTTTTTTCTATTTACAAAATTGACCAAGTTAGAATAAATCAAAATTTGAATTTATGCATAAATCGTATTTAATGAAATTTTCATTTATAACCACTGGAAATAATAAAATAAGTGTGAAATTGTTAAAAATTATTTTTAGTCTACGATATTATTTTTAATTTAAACTATTGAATTAATTAAATTCATAACAAAATAGTTATAATGATAATAGTAATATTAATATTATAATACAAAATAAAATAGATTAAATAAATCTATCTTATGAATTGTTCAGTTTTCGCCATTATGCTCTAAATATGATCCAAGTCGCCTCAAAAATTCAGTTGAAGTTGCCGCCTTGATTTGGTTCTCACTTAAAATATCACATGCCGCCTGTATTTTGTTTTTTAAGTCCTGAAGATTGACAGGTGGATCTGCATAAACCAGTCTTCAAATATCCCCATAAAAAAAAAATCCAGTGGCGTTAAATCAGGAGATCGTAAAGGCCAAGGAACGACACCATAGGTACCAATCCAGCGGTTCGGAAATATTGAATTTAAATATCTTCTAACAGTAATTGCATTATGAGCTAGTGCTCCATCATGCTGAAAAAACATTCGTTCTCGTATGTCTAATGAAATATCATCCAAAAGTCTTGGTAGTTCGTTGGTTAAAAAATTAAGGTATCGTCTACCATTAAGCGTTCCATTATAAAAGAACGGTCCTATTAACTTTCCACCAACTAATCCACACCATACATTTATTCCCCAGACCATTTGGAAATTAGCCTCACGTGACCAGTGTGGGTTTGTGTCATCCCAATGTCGATGATTTTGTTTATTCATAATGCCATTGTTTGTAAATTTTGATTCATCACTCCAAAGAATATGATTGACTATTAAAGGGTCATCAAATAATTTAACATTGAACCAAGCTATAAACTCTAACCTACGAATTGAATCTCCTGCACGCAAATGTTGGATGAAATTGATTTTATATGGGTGCATTTTGTGATTTTTTAAAATTTTTTGAACATAACCATATGAAACGTCAATTTTGCGAGCAACATGCCTAATTGACGAACGTGAATTAGCTCTTATGTATGCTATTACCTATAACTCTGTATTATCATCAAAAATATCTGCTCTGCGTCTTTGTTGGTTGATTTGTCTGCCGGGAAATCTTCCATTTTGACTTAACCCTTTTAGAAGATGTAAAACGTAATTATAAGGTGGATGGTATCTTTCTGGGTATCGTTCGGCAGCGTATTACCAAACCCTAGAGTGCCCCAGCGCCTTATTCTAATACGCTGTTCTCATTAGTTGGTTTAAATTGCGCGGGTAAATCATACTATTGTTATTATGGCTAAGTATAGATATCACGAACTAATATTAATATCTAATTAGTTCGTTATCATCGCATTATCATCATAGGCCATGGCTGAATGTAGATATTTTATCTCATCTACTAATTGGCAACTAGATATAAGTGATTTTTAACTAATATATTTATACTAAATAGCCTATATAAGAAGACTAATATAATATAAGCCTATATATTTTTATTTAGGGTCTTTAAATTACCTATACCGTTAATTCAAGGTTACCCTACGTAATTACCCCATTACTACTTTACAGTCTATAAACCCAGAATACAAAAATGTATGAATATCATCTATTCTATACTACGAATCTTGAATACTACCCAAGTACCCGCCATAGACATAATATATAATTTTAAATAATATAATGCGTAATTATACTGCCTTCTAACTGTTCCCATGCGTCATACAAGATTTATTATAGCAAATTTTGTAAGTTAGGTACCTACTCATCTATTTAATACTTACTTAGCAGTTTGTATTTAAATACATTTTATAAATTATAATATTATAGCACATAAATGAACATTTAACATTTTGTAAGTGGAATTTAGTAATCAAAATTAATTGCAAAAAAAAAAAAAAATACAAATATTTCTACTCATTCTATTATAATAAAAACATTATCTTTGGTGAGTGACGTTAGATTTTAAGTAATATTTAAGTTATTTTATTTATTAAGAGGTAATTTTATAACTCTTTTCTTATGTGAAGAGAGATGAGTCTGCCTTTAATATATTATCTATACTCTTCATGTTGCATACATAATTCATTGATTTAGGTTTAGGGTATTCATTTACACTTGTAATACTTATGAAAAATTATCCTAAAATATAATTATTTTTAGTACAAAATAGTAAGATATATTGTTGAAGTTATTTGTGCTTTGGCTTACTTTGAAGGATTTGGTAATTCTGAATTTAATATATATGAAACATTAGTTGCCAAAGTAAATACATTTATAAACTTTTTGGCTGATTCACTATTTGAAATATTCACTCTTATTATATACTTATTAGACTTGAGACAGCTTTCTTTCTCGTCAACAACACATACAAATTCGTCACAAAATTGACTAAGATACGCTTTAAGTATTTCAATTCAATTTAATTTTGAACATCGAACAGAAATATTAATAATACTTATTATTATAACTGTATAATATTTTACTAATAATTTTTCATACTTCTACTATAATGCAGAACAAAGAAAAAAATATCAGTAAAATATTTCTTACTCGCTATTTATATTCTTTAACCTTATAACTATTGTTTTCCTATATCAGTTTGATAAAAGTAATATAATTTATCGATACATTTAGACAACAATATATGGACTATAATTGATATTTACGATTAACCAGTCCAGATTTCTTGATTTTCAAGAAACTTTGTAATTGGGTATTTATTTATATTCGAGGTTCAAATTGCCCGGACAGGAGCAAATTGCCCGAGCAATGTATAAATTGCCCGGTATTCCATATTGTTCATAACATATAAATGTTACACGAAGATTGTGGATTTAATATCCTGAAAAATGTCAAAAAATAATATTACTCAAAATAAAATAAAAATAATTTGTAGTTTTAAAACTAACAAATTTTATGTTGTTAGAAAACCTACAAAATATAGTTATTTTCAACTATATAATGAATACAAATCTAAAAACAATTAAAATTAATGTAAATACAAAAGAATGTGAAATTAATAGATATGCATTCGTTTTTATTTTCTAATACTTTTTTCTAACAGTTAAATTATATTAAATGATTAAATGTCTCTGATAATTATTCCTTCGGATACACAGGAATTTATTTCTGTTTATTTCATCAAACACCTGCAGTGAACTCATAAGCCAGGTTAATAAAGGATTTATAAACAATAGATTTATTTACAATAGATATTATGCTGAACTGATTTTGTATTGATCTTTATATATTGAAATAGAAAATATAAAAATTATAATTCATTAATTAAATACGGGTACAAGCGTATTCACCACTCAAAATGTGATATGTGATGGAACGCAATAATTAACCAGAAGATTATAGTACGTAGCTGTGATTTTTAAGTCATTTATTGTTGTATAATCGTGTTTCACGTGGTTTATTTTATTTCATCATTATATAATCTCAACGATCGTGCAAATTTCGCTATAACACTTGTCATCGTAGAGAGGGTCTAAGCCATGAATCTTTGTTATTATAATATTATTGTAACGAGTTGGATTATATTGAAACAGGATTATGCTGTGTATTGTGCGCGGAAATAACAACAAAGCCAAAATGAAATACATACACGAGTTAGGTATATAACTCATCAATACGCGTAGGTACCTGTGCAACACTAGTGATTGGTGTGCGTGTTGGTACCTTAATTAAAAAAAAAAAAAAACTGCGTACTAAAAAAGTGCTACGACAGTGATGAGAGGTATAATATACCGTGCTTACCTATATTCAATATCATAATGTTACGTGTTCATGATGCGTAGAGCAATGTAGTGTACGCGATTAAGGCACGTATAAGATATACAATGCAAATCGAATTTTTTTCTTGATGCTCAAAAACAATGCCTTTTGAGCGCATAATTCGCATGTGCATCAAAGGATTTGTCATTTTAACCGTTACTTAATATTTGTCAAGTTTTTTTCATTTTTGCTTAATTTTTTCGCTCCATTTCTAAAGGTATTCTCTTGAATTTTACAGTTACTGTGAATAGATATAGGTCAGGGATGGCAAACCTTTTGAACACTGCGTACCCAAAATTACCTTTTTTTTTTTTTTTTATAGAGCGTGTCATGAAAAAAATATTAAAAATATTATATTTTATTATATTATAATTTGATTGTATAATTAATGTATTAGTATAAAAAAGTTAATTTAGGTACATAATAATAATAATAATAATAATAATAATTATAATAATATTGCTTTTTTAATTATTTATAATATATTATAGATCCTATATTATATATTATAAAATATTTAAGTAAACATTTTCGCGTGCCCACAAAATCTTTTCGCGTGCCATGGATTTGATTTATGATCGAAACGTACTCTCATTATCCGACTGCCGTTAGTTAATTTTAGTTTTATAATTTAATAATGACATTACTTTTATAAGTTAAGTTTCTTAACGATTGTTGACTGCCAATTTTTGAACCGCAATGTTTTGGAATGTTGGACAAATAAACATTTTTTAGGTACAGCTTTAAGATTATGAAATAAATTATAAAGATTCAATACGGTTTAATTACATTATTGTTTACGATTAATTTTTTGGCACAGTTTAAAATATATTTTTATAATTACATAAATATTGATGAATATGCGTTTACATGGATCAATATACGTTTTTCGTTGTTGTAATAACATGTACTCAGCAACAATACAATCATTGAATCTCTAACTACGTGCACGATTTAATAATTGAAACAAATCGTATAAAAAAAAAATAATTAGCGTACCGATGATTGTTACATGTGAATGTATTTTTTTGAATACGTCCCAAGAATATTTTTTACTTCGATAGTGATATTTTTAATAAACCGATGATTCATCATTATTCACGGTGAATACTATTTTTGTATATTTATTTTTAGTACTTAATTATTAGCAAAGAATATAAGAAAAATTTGTTTTGTATTTTTATTGTACAAACTATTTATTCATCATTCGGTACCCATATTTAACATCACACGTTTTTAGTGAATACTAAGTATTTAATTTTTTTTTTCGTATAGCACAAATATAGGGTCAAGTTTTTGAGACATTTCTTATTAATATTGAATATTTGAAATTGAAAATTGAAATATTACTTAACGCTAAAAAAAATGTTTTAAAAAAATAAACAATAAATATCATGGATAATATTATCATATATTTTCGTGTTGTAGATATTTCGAAATATTTTATACTTTGACACCGTGGTCGATAAATGTATTTATAAGTGAATGGGAAAAAGGGAAAATGAGTTTCTTGGAGATCGTAGTACTGAACCATCTTGTAGTTATAGTTTCCCACGAAGATATACTCATAACGCAATATCTTTACTGAAACAGTTTTTAAATTATGTTTCATTAGTTTCATAAAATTTTAAAAGAAATAAAAGAAGAATAACATTTGAAACTATTTAGATAATTGGGAATTAATGGTAGACCCTATATATTATATATATACGAGTATATTGAATCTTCATGAAAAATTGGTTAATCATATATAACGTTAACGCGCCAACAAAATGAAAATCCCAATTTTTGTATAAAAATATTATTATTTATTAAAACTCACAAGTGTTATAATAATATTATAAAATACACGTAAGTATTCTATATACTAGTTAGGTGTACCACTAAACGCTTAATATTATCTGCGTTTGAATTGAAGTTTAAACTAACATCACTTAATCAAATAATACTTATCAATAATATTAATACGTTAGTGGTCATCTAATATGTTAGTCAAATATTGTCAATATATATATATATATATATTAGTTGTGTATGGGCCAATTAATTCTGTATAAGAAACTATGTTTAGGTTTTTCCGTTCATGCATGGGCACTATTGCAAAATTATAAAATATATATGTAGGTATTAATTATATTAATTATATTCATAATAATACA